CAAAAAATAACACACAAAGCGATTCCCATAAGGATAACAGCTGATCTATCAATAGAAACCCTCCAGGCCAGAAGGGAATGGCAGGACATACTTAGACTAATGATAGAGAATAACCTACAACCTAGATTACTGTACCCAGCAAGGATCTCATTAGATACGAAGGAGAATTCAAAAGCTTTACAGACAAGCAAAAGCTGAGAGAATTCAGCACCACCAAACCAGCTCTTCAACAAATGCTAAAGGATCTTGTCTAGACAGGAAACACAGAAAGGCTGTATAAACGTGAACCCAAAACAACAAAGCAAATGGCAATGGGACCATACCTATCAATAATTACCTTAAATGTAAATGGTTTGAATGCCCCAACCAAAAGACAAAGACTGGCTGAATGGATACAAAAACAAGACCCCTATATATGCTGTCTACAAGAGACCCACCTCAAAACAAGGGACACATACAGACTGAAAGTGAAGGGCTGGAAAAAAATATTTCACGCAAACGGAGACCAAAAGAAAGTAGGAGTCGCAATACTCATATCAGATAAAATAGACTTTCAAATAAAGGCTGTGAAAAGAGACAAAGAAGGACACTACACAATGATCAAAGGATCAATCCAAGAAGAAGATATAACAATTATAAATATATATGCACCCAAAATAGGTGCACTGCAGTAAGGCAAATGCTAATGAGTATGAAAGTGGAAATTAACAATAACACAGTAATAGTGGGAGACTTCAATACCCCACTCACACCTATGGATAGATCAACTAAACAGAAAATTAACAAGGAAACACAAACTTTGAATGACACAATGGACCAGCTAGACCTAATTGATATCTATAGGACATTTCACCCCAAAACAATCAATTTCATCTTTTTCTCAAGTGCACACGGAACTTTCTCCAGAATAGATCACATCCTGGGCCATAAATCTAGCCTAGGTAAATTAAAAAAAACTGAAATCATTCCAGTCATCTTTTCTGACCACAGTGCAGGAAGATTAGATCTCAATTACAGGAAAAAAACTAATAAAAACTCAAACATATGGAGGCTAAATAACATGCTTCTGAATAACCAACAAATCATAGAAGAAATCAAAAAAGAAATCAAAATATGCATAGAAAAGAATGAAAATGGAAACACAACAACCCAAAACCTATGGGACACTGTAAAAGCAGTGCTAAGGGGAAGGTTCAGAGCATTACAGGCCTACCTCAAGAAACATGGAAAAAAGTCAAATAAATAACCTAACTCTACACCTAAAGCAACTAGAGACGGAAGAAATGAAGAACCCCAGGCTTAGCAGAAGGAAAGAAATCCTAAAAATTAGGGCAGAAATAAATGCAAAAGAAACCATAGCAAGAATCAACAAAGCTAAAAGCTGTTTTTTTTAAAAGATAAACAAAATTGACAAACCGTTGGCCAGACTCATTAAGAAACAAAGGGAGAAGAATGAAATCAACAAAATTAGAAATGAAAATGGAGAGATCACAACAGACAACTCTGAAATACAAAGGATCATAAGAGACTATTACCAGCAGCTCTATGCCAGTAAAATGGACAACCTGAAAGAAATGGACAAATACTTAGAAAAGTATAACTTTCCGAAACTGAACCAGGAAGAAATAGAAGATCTTAACAGACCCATCACAAGCACGGAAATTGAAACTGTAATCAGAAATCTTCCAGCAAACAAAAGCCCAGGACCAGATGGCTTCAAAGCTGAATTCTACCAAAAATTTAGAGAAGAGTTAACACCTATCTTACTCAAACTCTTCCAGAAAATTGCAGAAGGTAAACTTCCAAACTCATTCTATGAAACCACAAATGCTTTGTACAACCTGGACACAATGCATTTATCAGATCTATGTTTTGTAAAAGAGACCTGCCTTTTCAATTTCTTAACAGTCTTTTAAAAAACAAAAGTTTTGAAATTTTATGAAGCATAATTTATCAGTATTTTTCTTTTACAGTTCATGCCTTTTCTATCTTAAGAAACCTTTGTCTAAACCAAGGTTTCTCTGATGTTTTCATCTATAGATTTTGTAGTTTTACTTCATATTGACATTTATGTTCCACTGGACTTAATTTTTTTAATATATGGCTTGAGGTATATAAGTGTGAGGTTTGTTTCTTCCAGCCTTTGATCAAATTGCCAACATCCACTGGATCACAGAAAAAGCAAGAAGAGTTCCAGAAAAACATCTACTTCTGCTTTACTGACTTTGCCAAAGCCTTTGACTGTGTGGATCATAACAAACTGTGGAAAATCCTTAAAGAGATGGGAATACCAGACCACCTTATCTGCCTCCTGAGAAACTTGTATGCAAGATAAAAAGCAACAGTTAGAACTGGACATGAACAATGGATTGGTTCAACACTGGGAAAGGAGTACATCAAGGGTGTATACTGCCATCCTGGTTACTTAACTTATATATGAAGTACATCATATGACGTGTTGGGCTGGATGACTCACAAGCTGGAATCAAGACTGCTGGGAGAAATATCAACAACCTCGGATATGCAAATGGTACCACTTTAACGGCAGAAAGTAAAGAGGAACTAAAGAGCTTGATGAAGGTAAAAGAGGAGAGTGAAAAAGCTGGCTTAAAACTCAACATTCAAAACAAAGATAACGGCATCTGGTCCCAACACTTCATCACAAATAGAAGGGGGAAAGGTGGAAACAGTGTCAGATTTCATTTTCTTGGGCTCCAAAATCACTGCAGACGGTCACTGCAGCTATGAAAGCAAAGCTATGACAAACCTAGACAATGTATTAAAAAGCAAAGACATCACTTTGACGACAAAGGTCCATATAGTCAAAACTATGGTTTTTTTCCAATAGTCAGGTATGGATGTGAGAGCTGGACCACAAAGAAGGCTGAGTGCTGAAGAATTGATGCTTCTGAACTGTGGTGCTAGAGAAGACTCTTGAGAGTCCCTTGGACAGCAGAGATCAAACCAGTTAATCCTAAAGGAAATCAACCCTGAATATCCATTGGAAGGACTGGTACTGAAGCTGAAGCTCCAATACTTTGGCCACCTGACGTGAACAGCTGGCTCACTGGAAATGACCCTGATGTTGGGAAAGACTGAGGGCAAGAGGGGAAAGGGGTGGCAGAGGATGAGATGGTTGGATGGCATCACTGATTCAGTGAACATGAGTTTGAGCAAACTCCAGGAGATAGTGAAGGACAGGGAAGCCTGGTGTACTGCAGTTCATGGGGTCACAAAGAGTTGGACACGACCTGGCAACTGAACAACGACAACCTCAGTTTTAATGTAAAGAAAATTTAAATTAAACTGATTAAGCATAATAGAAAATAAGTAGTAGACTGTGTTCATCTATTTAAGCATCTCAATTTTGAATGATAGTTATCTTTTTTAGAACTTTTAAATTTGCAATAATTTTATAGATTCACTGGAGCACGAAGGAGCACAGGGAGGTCCGTGGGCCCTTCCTGCAGTCTTCCCTCATGTTAACATCTTACACAAAACCAAGAAACTGCCATTGGTAAAAGCCATAAAGCTTATTCAAATTTCACCAGCAATATAGGCACTCATTTTGCAGCATGCAATTTTATCCTGTGTAGCACTGCATAACCGTCACCATCCAGATACTCAACTCTACCACTGACACAAAATCTCCCTCCTGTTAACCCTTTATAGCCACACCCTCCTCCCTGACATTCACCCCTAACCCTTGACAATCACTAATCTGTTCTCCGTCTTTATGACTGTGTTATTTTATGAATGTTATGAAAATAGATTCATGCAGTATGTATCTTTTTTGAAATTGGTTTTTTCTATTCGGATATTTTCCTTATTCCTTCAAGCTACTGCTTCTACTAATAGTTTATTCCTTTTAATTGCTGAGGGGTGTTCCACGGTAAGAATGTGCCACAGTCTGTTTATCTGTTTATCCACTGAAGGGCACTGAGCAGGTTTCAGTGTCTGGCTACTATGAATGAAGCCACATATGAACAACCATGTGCAAGCAATGTGTACCTTTAATTGTACTTCCTGACATCTACACTGCAAAGGAAGGTAGAGCAAAATGCATTTTTAAAGGACTTACATGTTCAATTAAAACAATATCGTGGTCCAGTTACATAAAGAATCCATGTGCCAATGCAAGGGACACGGGTTAGATCCCTGGTCCGGAAGGAGCCCACATACCTCCGGGCAACTAAGCCTGCGCCCGAGAGCACGTGCTCCGCAACAAGAGAAGCTGCCAGCATGAGAAGCCTGTGCGCCGCAGCTAGAGAGCAGGCCCTGCTCACCAGAACTAGAGAGCGCCTGTGAGCAGCAGCAAAGACCCAGCAGAGTTAAAAACAAACCAATCAATAAATAAAAACTAATGTTAGCATAGTCAACAAATTCATAGAGGGGGAAGGCCCAAATCCTGGCCCAAACTTGAGATGTGAGTGGGCATGTGATAAAGGGTGTGCATGTGTGTATCTCTGTACATGTGGGGGGCAGTCAAGAGCAGAACAAGTGATGTGGGGCAACACCCTTGCCCTTTTCAGAAAGGTTGAATATTTAGTGTTGTAGTTTTCCCACTGGATGATTCTTTTATTTATATTTGTTATGGCACAGAGATTAAATCCTAACATGTATTCAAAGTCTGGGCATGTCTGATAATTCAATAATGCTTTAAGCAAACAATTTTGTCCTCTAGATAAGATCTTTTTAGGCTAATATGAACATTTTTTTCTGATGATCCCAGTCCACTGTAGATGCATGCATACACAACAGACTCTAAATTTATTTTAGGCCAACCTTGAAATATGCTGGTTATAATTTACAGAGAATGAGAAAAATCAGATATTATTATTCAATTAAATACATGACTATACATTTCCTTGATCATTTTAGAAAGTTTTCGTGTGTGCTCTATAATATAATTTAGACAAGAGTTAAATAAAAAAAAGGAGACAGCCGCTTCCAGATGACATTAACAAGGAAGAACAGCATCCAGCAACAAGAAACCTTACCAACAACAGCTGGGGGCTAAGTCCAGCCGACTCCAAAGTGTGACACATTTCCTCAGTGGAGCTTTCTCCACATAAACACTTCCAAAAAAAGAAACTGCCTGGTAAAACAAAAACAAAACACGTCAACCAATGCCTGCTTACCTAACTCAAAATCTTCCTGACTTGCAATCTAGATTCCTAGAGGAGCAAAACAACAGCAGAGAAGGGAAATCAATGGCTCAGTTTGCTTAAGTGATTAAAGCAGAAGGCAAATCATTACATGTCTCACACTGTCTCCTAAGTATACTTTTTAATTCAATACAACTTTTATGAGATAGTGCCTTACCCATCCAGAGGGTCTTCCGTTGACTGTAAAACATACATTCAATTCTTTGGTTAATTAATTTAAAAAGAGGGGGGATTCAGAAAGTAGTTAATCATTCTACCTACCTAAAGCCACATATTCCTCTTCACTTGTCTTCTTTATGTTGACCACATCTTTCTCATATTCTAAATGCTCCAGGAATGTTTTCACAGGTAACACACCGTCCTTATCATCAGAAAACCGGACAGCAGTCCTGCTGCTCTCTCGCTTATACTTCTCTAGCAAGGCCTGGAGCTGAAGGAGCTCCTTTTCATCCAGCCTTAGTAACACTGCCAAGTCCTTAAATTTAGGGAGGAAGGAAAAGTTATCAATAGACCATGTCTCTTTCTATGACTTCATTATGTGTCATTTATCTGCCATATCTGTCATTATCACCTGAAACAAAATCCAAGACTATAAGCAAAAAATGACTTCTTAATTAATGTGATACCTATGGTGTGCTCTGCTGAAAATTTTACTCTCAGTTGATGAGTAGGATATTATTTAAATATAAAATAATCTTGAAACACTACATATTACTGAAAGTATCATTCTCAGAAAGTTTCTTGAGATTATTCAATACCCTTCTAAAATGTCTGAATTTTAATAAACATGTATTATTGCTTAATCAGAAAAAAATGTAAGTGGCTGTTAACTGCCAACTCTTGTGATTCTGAGGAAACTAAAGAACTACTAGATATTTAATACTTGTTTTAGTAAGCAGCACAAACACTATAAAATAAAAGCAGTGGGCAACTTGCTTATATGTAGTCCTCACGGTATCTACATATAAATTCTCTATATGGCTCTCAGGGTTATAGAGATTAAAAAGTAACAGATACAACCTGTCAGCCTTTCAAACTGTTTTTACATCAGATGTGCAGAAACATCTTCTGATAACTACTACTGATGGTGGTGGCAGTTTAGTTGCTCAGTCGTGTCCGCCACTTTGAGACCTCATGGACTGCGGCCCACCAGGTTCCTCTGTCCATGGAATTCTCCAGGCAAGAAAACTGGAGTGGGTAGCCATTCCCTTTTCCAGGGGATCTTTCCAACCCAGGCACCCTACAGATATAACTTAATCAACCTGAACTTTCCTGTTGCTTGCAAGTATTTTTTACTATTGGAGAAGTAACGGCAGAACAAAATCTCCTGAAAAATGGCCTTATCATTTATCATGGCATTCACAGAATAGTATTATAAAGAGATCGTTAAAATACTTTATAAAATTCATCTATATTACCAAAGATTAAAAAAAAATGTTAGAATGTGTAGGCTATTTTTAATACTGAGAGGAAATATTTTCAGTATTTGCCACTTCTCATTTTTGTTTAAAATTTGTTTATTTCTATACATGTATTTATAATAATAGGCATCTATTTTAAAACTCAATGAGATTTCAGATGTACCAAATATGTTTTTTAAAAGCATTACCAGTGACTTGACAAATCACTAAAGTCACTTTAATGATTTTCCTTTAGATAAGTAAAAGACCTGAGACCCTGAAGCCACCAATCTGCCCACGGTCACACAGTGGTTGAAGGAAGAGAGAACAATACTTCTCTCTGTTCTCTATCAAGAGAAATTCTATTTCTTGGCAGAGAAAGTAGGAATTTTGTATACTCTCCTAGAAATAAGCCATATTGCACTTGCACTATAATAAAGATTACAAGGTCCTATCACTTTTTTACATTTTGAAGAAAACCAAAGAACATTTTCTACAACTACTTTAAACACTCTGATATAAGATGGACTATCTTAAAAACGTATTCTATTATGTAGTAAACAACAGAGCAGTATCAGTTTACTAAGAACGACACAGAAAAGCTGGTCTCTTCTGCTTGTTAGAATCATTTTCTTTAAAATAAATAGAAAATTTGCTACTTCCGTTCACTGCAAATTTTTGATTAGCAAACCCTGTGGAAAAGAAGTTGTAAGAAGCAATTTTATAAAATAAGTTAGGGAAAACCAAATGCTTCTAGGTACTGACAATGGATTAATAACAAGTTCAATATTCAAGCCTACATAACATAAATTTAGGAGCAAGGCATAGAAAGCCAGCAGGGGGTCTTGTAAAGAAAATAAAGCTTTACACATTAAAAAAAAAAACCCTTAATATTTGTACTTCTTTACTATCAATTAAAAAATAAAAAACAACCAAAGAGATTACTGTATAATGAGTAATGGGATTACTCACATTATCAGAGAACGGTGTATCTGAATGAAAATCAGTGGAATTTAATTGACTAACAGACTCATAAAGATGGAGTAATTTCAATTTATTGGCACAAAACTGTAGCAGTCCTTCATCAACAGACTCAAGCTCTACAGGGCAGAAAGAAAAAATACATTAATGAGATACATTTAACAGACTGATTAAAAAACCTCTCAATTTTACATAATTTCTTGATGTCCATATTAGAATATTGCTATGCTTTCAATATAACAGATTAAGAAGTCAAAAATAATTTTTCTATCATGCAGTGTCTAAATTTTTAAATGAAGGTGCTCTAATAGTGGGAGGGGAGGAGAAAAAGAAAGAAAGAAAACAGAAGAGATATTTTAGTCTAGTACTCAAATTTAAACAAATATTTTGGAAACAGGCTTGAAAATATCCTCCCCTCACTCCGTAACTCAAATGTTGTCTATTATTCTCATACCCTGAGAAAAGACAATTGGAAAGTTGCCTGGCTCTTCTTATCACTGTGGTCAAAGATACTACAATTAAACCAGAAACTGGATTGTAACACATGTATCCTCAAGAGAGGCTGAGAAAGAGACCAAAAGTAGAATTCCACCTGCATCAGTCAGGTGTCCTGTCAAGATTAACACTGGAAAAGTACCCCCTCTCTGTATAATACATTCCTGTATGATAAAGGCAGACACTGAAAACTGCAAGACTCTGTTAAAAGAGATACAATAACATGGAAGATTGTCTATGTTCTTATAGCCACAATAAAATTTAGCATACTCAGTACTTGTCATTTTTAGGACTCTCATCTGTGGGTAGAACTTGAAGCTAGTCATAGTACAGAACTCCGACAACGGTGTTTGGTTTACTCCCAGCCCAGTGCAAGACAAAGTTTAATAAATTTTTTGACATTTAAAAAAAATCCTTAGGGGGATAGGGAGATTTTAGAAGTGTACTATACTTTTAGAAAGAGGCATTTCTAACATGTTGTATGCACTAAGGGAGTTTTCTATTTGCTAAAAGTCAACTTTAGATCTGTTTTAAAAAAATTCAAAATTAGGATGCTTACTTTCCTGCAACAGTGTATTATTTATTTATCTATTTATTTTTCGGTCATACCACGCAGCATGTGGCATCTTAGTTCCTCTACCAGGGAAATGAACCAGTGCCCCCTGCAGTGGAAGTAGCGTCTGAAACACTGGACCACCAGGGAAGTCCCCTGAAACAGCATATTATGCTTGATCTATCAAGCCACTCTCAGTTCAGTTCCGTTCAGTTCAGTCGCTCAGTCGTGTCCAACTCTTTGCAACCCCATGAATTGCAGCACGCCAGGCCCCCCTGTCCATCACCAACTCCCAGAGTTTACTCAAACTCATGCCCATCGAGTTGGTGATGCCATCCATCCATCTCATCCTCTGTCGTCCCCTTCTCTTCCTGCCCCCAATCCCTCCCAGCATCACGGTCTTTTCCAATGAGTCAACTCTTCACATGAGGTGGCCAAAGTACTGGAGTTTCAGCTTCAACATCAGTCCTTCCAATGAATACCCAGGACTGATCTCATTTAGGATGGACTGGTTGGATATCCTTCAAGCCACTCTAGGTTGGCTTAAATATGAAACCTCCTGGGCGTTCAGGGGTTGGGACTCTGCCTTCCAACGCAGGGGGTTGGGGTCTGATTTTTGGTCAAGGAGCTAAGATCCTACCGGCCTTGTGGCCAAAAAAAAAAACCACCCAAAACATAACACAGAAACAGTATTGTAACAAATTCAATAAAGACTTTCAAAATGGCCCACAAAAAATAAATGTATGCTTCATATAATTCACACAACAAGCAAAAAGTCACAACTAAGATGAAGTCAGTATACCACACACTACATTTTTAATTGATGTTAGGAATTCAGAATAAATTTTTCTATCTTGGCAAGATAGAATATGGAGTTACAACCCCACAGTTAGAGATGTAACTCTTTTCCAGACAAATGTATTCTGAATAGTAAAAAAAATCTGAATTGGTCATGTAATCATAGTCTATGATTCTGGAAGCCCTAGTTCTGTTCATGAGGGAAATAGATGAAAAAATACAGATTCCATACACTGATAAAACATTAATCAAAGCATAGAATTTAGAAAAAAAATCATTATCATGGTCAAAACAACATTACTGAGAGTTAAAATAAAATGGCAGCAAGACAGCCTGGTTGTTTTTCGCTTACCACCAGCTATCTTGTCCCCACATGCCAATGGCTTTCAAAACGCTTTACAACTATTATCACAATAGTCACTTCCCATCATTCTATCTTTCCTCATAACAGATGGATTCAAATGAAAAATATTTACAGTGAGAAACAGAGTCAACATACTCAGAGAAAGATCAGTAGCATACACTGAACAGGGAATTTAAAAAGCCTCCAATGATAAAGGTATGAAATAAGCTTTCTTCTTTCTTATACATTGTTTCTTATACATATTACCACATCAAGGTAACATGATGGCATTATAAACAGTTAATACTTTCTATGGTCAGAGTTATAAAATTTGAGGTGAGACCATAAACAAACCCTATTACCTTGATTTTTTAAAGTGTCCATTAATGTCTGAGTGATGTTTTTAAGGCAGGAAAATGGTAAACGTTCACTTGCCAAAATGCTTTCCAATGCCTAGAAGAAAAAGAAAAAAAAGAAAGTGTGCTCAGTCGTGTCCGACTCTTTGAGACCCCATGGACTGTAGCCTACCAGGCTCCTCCATCCATGGGATTTTCCAGGCAAGAGTACTGGAGTGGGTTTCCACTGCCTTCTCCAGGGGATCTTCCCAACCCAGGGATCAAACCCAGGTCTCCCACATTGCAGGCAGATGCTTTTACTGTCTAAGCCACCAGGAAAATTGCCTAGAAGAAATATAAGGAACAATTTTCATAATTACAAGGCAAAGATCTTGGTTTTTAAATTTTACACTTATGCCCCTAGTTTCACTGCCCCAAGTTTCAAAGGGAAACTCCATTTTTAAGATGTTTTATTACTTATCTCAGAGCTAAAGTGGCATCATAAGTAATATGTAATCAATTTCATGTCATGCCAAATATGGTACCATGAGAGAAAGTCCAGACTGAGAATGAAACGACTTGGAAGGCAACTGATGTTCAACAGGATGGCTGAGACAGAGACGAAGCTATTCACCAGTAAGAGTTTGAGTACGTCTGTAGTATGTGCATGAATGAAGAGCAGACATTGCCACTGTCATGCCACTAATAAAAGCTGACAACAACTTAATCACTGCTATGATACTGTGCTGAGCATGGCTGGCTGCACCCACAGGCCAGTCTAGAAGAATATATTCCCCACCTCTCTGCGCCTGCTCCCTTCCTGCCCACTAGTAGTTCTTTAAGAATCTTCATCATTACTTCACGTCTAAAAAAGCAATCAGAATCACTGGTGGGTTACACACCGCACTTAAAAGTTCACACTTGTCCTTTCATATCAGCATGATAAACTGAATTTTGAATTATGAGATTAAACAGTGTAAAAGGTAGGCTACGGATATGGCATGAGACAAATATCAGACTTCATGCAACAACAACTCGGTGTGTCTGTGGAGAAGAAACAGGTGCAGAGGGCAGCTCTGGAGGTTGGTCCGGCCTAGCATGAGGCAAAGGCATGGAGAATATAAAGTGACCCAGGGACTTCCCAGGTGGTCCATTGGTCAGGAATCCGCCTTTCAATGCAGGGAACACAGGTTTGATCCCGAGTCAAAGAACAGCTGCAGGGCAACTAAGTCTGAGCACAAGAACTGCTGAGCCTGCGTGCCACAACCAGAGAGCCTGTGCACCACAACGAAAGATCCCAAACACTGAAACGGACATCCTACGTGCTGCAGCTAAGACCCAAAGCAGCCAAATAAATGAAGAAAATATTTTTTAAAAAAGGAAGTGACTGAAAAAGGCAAATACCTAGGAAAATGTCATCTGCCTCTGTTGTGTCTACTATCACACAAGTTAGCAGCTCACTGCCTTAATAATATTATTCCATCTTCAAAGTCTAAACTTGTTTCTTTCCTCCCTTAACTGCTATAAAACAATACACAAATTTCACTATTAGGTTGTTTAGTACTTTTTATAAAATTCATAGCTTCATACGAAATTCAGTAGTATTAAAAAAATTAAGGAAACATTTTGTACTATTCTAAAGTTTCCTGATTTTATTGTACTATGATGTAAAAAAGATGGTATTAAAATGAGAAGAATTATGTGGGTTCTGACCCTCCCTTTCCAGGACTGAAGCCCTAAACTGCTCTCCACATGCCCACTCTGTCAAAAGAATCTTTAATAATAGAGACTTTGCCCTAAGGAAAATGAGAACCAATTAGTACTGTCAGTGGAGTGGAAAACACAATTAAAAGTCAGGGACCTGTCAGTTCTACAATAAAACGATAGTGCTTTTAGAAAATGAGTGCCATAATAGAATAAGAGGGATAGAAAGAAACCAGTATTCACTAAATCATCCTACTATTTCAGATGCTGTGTATTATGAAAAGGACATATTTGGTAAGGTCCTATTTGAAGGAGGCTAAAAGAGGTAAAGAGGAAAAAGCTGGGGAGCTAGGACTAATATGTATGAAATAATCTGAAAACAAGTATAATCAGCCCTCTGTATCCATGGGTTCCTCATCTACAGATTCAACCAACCATGGACTGAAAACACGCGGAAAGAAAAAAATTCCACAAAGTTCCTAAAAGCAACTGTGAATTTGTCCCATACTTGCAACTATTTACACTGCACTTACGCTGTATTTCCAACTGTTTACATAGCACTTAAACTGTGTTAGGCATTACAAGTAATCTAGAGAGGATTTAAAGTATACAAGAGGATGTGCGTAGGTTATATGCAAATACTACAAAATTTTATGGGGCTTCCCTGATAGCTCAGTTGGTAAAGAATCCGCCTGCAAGGCAAGAGACCCCAGTTCAATTCCTGGGTTGGGAAGATCCCCTGGAGAAGGGATAGGCTACCCACTCCAGTATTCTTGGGCTTCCCTTGTGGCTCAGCTGGTAAAGAATCCGCCTGCAACGTGGGAGACCTGGGTTCGATCCCTGGGTTGGGAAGATCCCCTGGAGAAGGGAAAGGCGACCCATTCCAGTATTCTGGCCTGGAGAATTCCATGGACAGTATAGTCCATGGGAGGGTCACAAAGAGTTGGACACAACTGAGCAACTGACACCTCACACAATTTTATAAAGGGACTTGAGCACCTTCAGATTTAGGTTTTCACAGGGGGTCCTGGAATCAATGCCCCCGAGGAAACTGAGTGAGACTGCATTATTAGCTCTCTGTTCTGATTAAAGCGGAGTTCAGAGCATCCCCAAGGACTGACGTGCCACGTCAGAACCCAAGCAGCAACAGCAGGGATTTGGGTAAGAAGAGTGGCAGTAACATAACAAGTTACCATATTACAACCAGGAGCCTGGAAAAGGTAACAAATCTGGATTATTCCATGAGAAGCTAAGACGCAACAGGGCCTCTTCTATACTATCAATGAGAACGCAAATTAGTACAAGTATTTTGAGAAGTAATTCATCATCAACCAGCCAGAACTGCATATCCTAGAGATTCTACTCTAAGGTGTAAACTCAAGAGAAACTCTTATATTTGTGCGCCAGGAAACACTGCACAAGGATAATCACACTATCATTGTTGGTAATAGCAAAAAGCTGAGAACAACGTAAATGTCCACGGACAGAGTGAATAAATACAGTCACAGAGTGGAATTCAAATATACGCGAGTCAACTATAGGCAGCAATGCAGAGAACTTCCAGAAACACAATGGTAAGAGAATGAAGTGGGTCACAAAGATGAGACAGAGTAGGACTTGATTCACTTCAAGTTCAAAAAAGTGGAAAATGCATCACTATGTTTTAAAGGAGTCATACAGAAATGCTGTAACTACAAAGAAAAGCAAAAGAGGAACACAAAATTCTCAACACTGGCTACCTTAGGAATGGGAGAAGGGATGGGAGGAGGAGGGACACGCAGGGAGGGCTCTTCAGAGTTCCCAGTAACATCCTGTTTCCTAAGGTGGGTGGTCATACACAGCTTTGTCTTATTATTATTACTTAATTTGAATATATGTTATGTATGGGTTTTTGTGTGTATATAAAACACACGTACTTCCATGTATGGCAGTATTACTTAATCAAAAAAGAAGAAAGACAAAAGACAACAGAAACTTTTGCATGGGAATGTAAAAAAAGGATGAACATGCATGAAAACACAGAAAGATTTTGGCCTGTCATGTTTTTGGACGGAAATAGGAAAATATAGATTTTATTAAGAAGGGAATGTAACAGTTACTTGGCAGGAAAGATCTTTTATTATATACACTTACTTGTTTTTTGGTTGCAGGGTATTTAATATCAAGAATTAATTCCTTTATTTCTGTTTCAATCAAATCTAGAAAGAAAATTAACCAAAATAAAACTGTGGTTCACTTTTACAACAGGTAAACTTTATTCTGAAAGAAGAACACATGCATTTGCACTATCAGTCAGTCTGAAGGATTTCTGAGTCCTCTTGGAAATTACTGTTTTATTGTTACAAATTTTAATACTCCCTAGATGGCATGTTTCATCCTTCAGAGTAATTCCAATAAAAACTATACATGATTACTTGTACCTCATCTCATTCCACAAAGGAGTTACAACAGCTCATAAATGCACTGAAGTGTTTTGCTTGCTCCATTTAGAATATTCTATTTACTTTAAAAATGCCATGACAGTATCCTTCATTTTTATTAAAGGACACCTACCAAGATTGGGACATTTTGCTTTCAGTAAGGTTCCCAGTTTCTTCACTAAGTGCATGTCCTTGGCTCGTTCACTCTTCTTATCACTAAAACAACAACAACAAAAATACAACAAATTCTTAAAGAAAGTGAAGCTGTTTTCCTTCTAATTCTGATACATTCAAATTTCTTTTTCTTTTCTACGCTTTCTATTTAACTTTAAAGGGATCAGTCTAGAGAGAAATAAAACAGCTACAAAACAAAGCTATATTTAAAATGAATAACCAACAGGAACCTACTATATAGCATAGGGAACTCTGTTCACTGTTGTGTGAAAGTCTGGATGGGAGAGGAATTTGGGGAAGAATGGATACATGTATATGTATGGCTGAGTCCCTTTGCTGTCTACCTGAAACTATCACAACAGTGTTAGTCGGCCATAACTACAGTACAAAATAAAAGGTTTAATATAGAAAAAAAAAAAGGGACTGGGAAAAGTCGGTAGAGGGACATTAATAAGCTGGCACGTGATACAACTTACCTCAATGCTAAGTGGAAAGGAACATTGACTGTTTTCACACTTCCAGACACTGGATCAACCAGGCAGATCTGGTAAGTCTGGGGCTGCCAACTCTGACTGGTAATGTTATTTAAGCCCATTATTTTATAGCCAGGATACAGAAGCCTGAGGAAATCACAAACCAATATGGAAAGCCACGGAGTTTATATGCCGCAACAAAAGATCTACGTGATGCAATGAAGATCCAGGGTGCCACAACAAAGACCCAAGGCAGGCAAATAAATATTAAAAAAAAAGTAAAATAGAACCTAACTGCCAGGGTTCTACCCTGTTAAAATGTGCTAGAAAATCACATAAACACAACCAGGCTGATGTCGCAGTGGCAAACAAAGCACTCACATGACTCGGTATCATCACTAGGGGAATCGGAAGGAATCTTTTCTTTCCAGCCTCCACAGTGTAAGGAGGGATGGGGACAAGTGGGGCACCAAAGCTGACTTTAATTCAGTAGTGTATCACAGCCTCTTCAGTCAGATTCCTTTGTTATTAAACACTTAATCCATAATTACATAGCAGGCATTCATGGGGAAAAACCACAATAAAGGACATTTTAATTCTCAACCAACTTGCAATCTAATTAAGTAGCTTTAAACAGAAGCTTTACTTGAACAAAAGCATTTCTTTTTGCAGCCAGGAAAAGGCTAGGGTTTGCAGCTTACCTGCAGTGCTTTCCCACATTGAAAGCGCCAACCCGAGGGCCCTGCTGTGTGCTCCACACTTCTAAAATGCCCCTCCGTGGTGCATAGATCACAAGGAACTGAGCCACTCGACTTGGACCCTGAGGACTTCCAAATGGGGAAAAATCTCCCTTTTCTGGCACTCTTTCGTGGAGGTCCTCTACAATCTGGATCCAACCAGTCTGTGCATCTCGATACCCTTAGAGACAGAGGAAAGGAAAGCCGCTTAGATATGGAATCTAGGTTTAGCAGAGCCTTCTGAAGCATGCAGGAATGTTTTGGTCAGTGGGGCTCAAGAAAAGCAATAAACATATATTCTCTTTTATTATGAAATATATTAAACAGAAAAAATTTTAATTATGACAAATCCTAAATCACCAAGTCTCCTTAAAATGTCAGTTTGCTACAGTTGGTTCTGATCACACTTTCTTTTTTAAGAAGAAATCAGTTATCATGGAAGGTTCCTTGATTTCATTTCCATCCCTTCTTCCCTCTTTAAAAATTCTGGAGATTTTAAGGTTTAGATTTAAAATAAAAATCCAATTAAAACAGAAGGTCAAATTGGTTTCCTAGAATTCAGGTCCCTTGGTGGCACACAGGGGGAGGACATGGGCTCCAGCCCATGGGAATGGGAATCCCATGAGCAATGGGAAGCAGCACCAGCCTGTGAGAAGAAACATGCTGCTGTCACGCCTTCCTAATCCAATCCCTCTCTTTCCAGTAATGGGGAGGAAAAGGACAGAATGCACCAGCTGCAGAAGGACAGGCCACAATGGCAGCCACAGCATCACCATAATGGATCTGGACCAACTGGTATATATTCTGCAAAAGTCTTGCTGAGAACATACCCTTGAACTTATTTCAGAAGACAAGCACCATTTTAGGGAGAAATGATATACCTGATACCTTGAAACCTATTTCTAAAGACACTTAAACATGTGACATGTGGCAAGTAAACACTGCAGTACTTCTTTTTTTTTTTTTCACTGCAGGATTTCTTTGGCAAGAAGGTAACAGTGGCCTTAGTCAGGTCCAGAGTTAAAATTTAATGCCCTCAAATCCATTATTCCTCACAATGCTAAAAACATACCAGATTGCATCAAAATTGTGGTTTCTAACCAATAGTCTCTGCTGACATGTTAATATTAAAGATGATTACAAACAATGCATTCTCCTCTCCGCCTTAGTCAAGGGGATTTATTTTATTCAGGTTGAAATATATTTTCAAGTCTCCCTTATAGTTAGGTTTGCCATGTGACTAAGTCCTAAATAATGTATTGCAGAAAAAAGTCTTGTATTGGCAAGACTTCTGAAAATATCTTCAAAGCAGACTAAGGTGGTAGTCTTTCTGTCCCCTGCTTCCTTCCTGGGATGCATGTAAGATGGCTGGAGCTTCAGCAGCCATTTGGACCATGATATAACCTTCATGGGGAAGCTACACAGAATAAGACTGAGTTCCTGAGGATGTCATGTGATATCATACTGATCCTGTATGCAGCTCTGTGCTTGTCACTAAATGTAACTTCTAACAGACAATGTTACCAAGACACTTAAATGAACTGACCCAGGCACATGGATATGGAACTCAAATTTTAAAAAAATGAATCTTGCTAGGTTTTGCCATCTTAAATCTGAAAAACCTGGCATTCTAGTTTTGGAAAGATTTGATTCAAGCATGGCCGTGCAAACTGGAATGAATCTCGCAGGAGCAAGAAACTAAATTCAGGAACTGACAATGTCAGTGAGAACTGAAAAGAAGTACATAAGGAAGAGTTTTTAAGTACCTATGAGTTAGTCAAACTTAAAGGATGTGTCAGTTGGACTACCAGTCAAATGTTGATATGACCTGAGTTTGTGATTAAAAAAAGAAAGCAAGCAAGCATAAAGAAACACTGTTATCAACAAGAAGCTGAAGAGGGATAGCACTGTCCAGCTACTGGGGTAAAAAGGCAATTAACTTTTTTCCTGGATTTTTGTAAGAAAGTACCTTTCCACATGCGTATTGCAATTCCTCTAGCTACATCCAACAAAACAACTCTGCCAAAATCATCTGTTACTGCTGCCAGTGTGTTACATGGAGACAGACATATACTTTCACCATGGCGTCGAGAATCTGGAAGCCCAAATCTGATATTTAAAAGAAAAAAGAAAGCAGAACTCAAAGTCCAATCTAGAAAGAAATAAAAGAATAATGAAATACAGCAACAAAACAGACTGAATCTGATTTTATATTAATATAAATAAAAATGAACTTTGTATGGATTAATAGTTAATTATTAACTAATCACACCAGACATTTTGTAATACAAAATATGAAAGGAACTTTCTTCTATTTTATAATAATATCTAAGTCTTATTTCAGAGATATTTGATACAGAATACCCACAACCTTATTTTTTCAGAGAGTATCAAGTACAAGTATATCTTTCCTTGATTAAGCAATATGTCACACGAAACTACCCTGACAACCAACTAAATTTTAGAATACTTTGCTTCTACACTGGCATCTTTGTCTATTTTTTCTTATTTCTAATCTTTTCTCTTTTTTCTCTAGATAGCATATCCTGCTGATATCAATGTAACTGCCTGAATCAAGAACTTTCCTTCTTCTAAAGAGTTATCTGTACACTGTTCTTGGTCTATAATCAATCCTATTAGAAATGTGGGTAAAATAAAAGTAAGGAAGTATTGAGAAAGAACCAGAATAGCTCATTTTGAAAAAACTCCCTGAGACAAAGTACTCAGAGACTTTGTACATCCATGTGATGCATAGGGCCACTTGGCTTATTTCTTCATTCTTGGGTGACTGGGGATGTGATATGTTAGATGGAAAACACTCTAGAAGATAAACTTCAATACATTTTAATAATAGATAATTAGTTATATCTCTTCAGTTGAAGAACATCTAAAAAAGGGGAGAGGTTTTTATTTCCCTTCATGGTGGTACTTTATATTGAGTAATAAAAAAGGATTTAAAAACAGAAACAAGCAAAACTCATGCCCTCTCTCCCCAAAATCTGACAAATCCACTAAACATCCCCCAGTACTGCTGGAACAAGCAAGGAAGCATAAGCCAGCATTATTCAAGCATAATGCCTGAATATATGTGATCCTGTTTCTACTTTTCTTTTTTTTTTTAAAAGAAATCACTATGTCCTTTTTAAGGTTCTACAGCTTATCAATAAGCTAAACTTTTTATAGAAGTTAAAAAAAAAAACAACACTTTTTATAGAAAGAAGTTCAATAGCTATCAAAAACCCAATATTTCTACTGTACATCTAAGTGTACAGTGTTTGTGAGCGCACACCCAACACACACACACACTGAGCCTCTACTACATGATGGGGAGACAAGTGTCGTTAAAACAGATAGGAACCACTCTCCTCATGAAGTTTACATTCTGGGAGGAAACATTAGTCCCACATTAATGACTTATAGGAGCTCCAAAGACTCAAGAAATCAATAAATCAGCTAAGCACATGGAAAGAGCATACATTTAACAATCCATTTCTAAAAATGCTAAAATGCAAGAGGAGCACGACGGACTTGCCTTACAGCTAATGGGGTAGCTGGTTCCACCTTGGGTTTTTGCTTCTGGACAGCTTCTTCTTCATGCTTGCTCTTCCAACCAAGCCAACCACTGAAAGGAAAGAGCATTTAGACTAACACCATGGATCCCAGTGTTTTAATGCGCAGACCACCCAAATGAGATGGAAATTTTTTAAACTGATGTCATTACCTGGCAGCATTAAATAAAGCGGAAGTGAGTTTACTGGCCACTGCGAGTGCAACATGAGATAATAATGGTTGCGTGCTTCCCTGAAAAACAGAACATTTGAAAGATGACAAACAAAATACACTATCTAAATGAGATGCACTTTAAAAAGGTAGGAGGCAGAAATATAATCAGAAGTTTTAACTCTATAGTTTAAAAGTAAAATCACTAATAGCTTAGATAATCCCCATAATTTCCCTCTTTAAATTGTTGTCAATTAAAAAATCTAAATTAGGACATTAATATGGCCTTATTCTAGCAGGGCTGTTGATTTCTCATCCATACAGAACTAGTTCTTTTCCCTCTTTCTAAAACATTTTTTTCCATCAGTTTTTATTTAGAAATACTTCATATTGTACAAAATTTATTTTATTTTTAGTTCTACCACTTTATTGCTACCAACCTATCTCCCTCCACCCTTGTGCACACATGCCCAGTCATATAACCCCATGGACTGCAGCCCTCCAGGCTCCTCTGTCCATGGACTTTTCTAGGCAAGAATACTGGAGTGGGTTGACAAAATTTATTTTAAATTTAAGAATAGCTGGTTTACAATGTTGTGTTAGTTTCAGGTATACAGTAAAGTGATTTGGTTTTATATACACACACACTTCAGATTCTTTTCCATTACTGATTATTACAAGATACTGAATATAGCTCTCTGTGCTATACAGTAAATCCTTGTTGCTTACTTATTTTATATACTGGAGTGTATATCTATTCATCCCAAACTCCTAATTTATTCCCCCAACCTCTTTTTTTAAAATATATTTTTGTTAAAGTAAAAAGACGGTTTGGAAAATTCTGAGAAGGGCGCTTTTTATGTGAGAAATCAGAGCTGCCTAGTCTAATATCTAAATCTCCCCAATTTTAGGAAGCAGTTTATACCACTCCATCAGCTATAGTTGGCAGCTCATTCTATCTTTGCAATTCCTCATTTACTCAACTTCCTTGTGGGCCGACATCACTAACAACTCTAAGCTTCTGACTACTGCACCAATATTTCAAGACAACTCAACTAAGAATTTGGGACATCAGAAACAAAGAAGTTTGCTTATTTTACATTGACTTTAGTACCTTTCTAGTTAATCTAAAGAATTTAGAAGAAAGTGAGTTGAGACTAATTTCAGCTTATACTGAAATTTAAAAATGTAAACCACTTAATCTTTTTAAGGCTATTGTGAAAATGAGTGAAGTCGCTTAGTTGTGTCCGACTCTTTGCGACCCATGGACTGTAGCCTACCAGGCTTCTCCATCCATGGAACTTTCCAGGCAAGAGTACTGGAGTGGGTTGCCATTTCCTTCTCCAGAGGATCTTCCCAACCCAGGGATCGAACCCGGGTCTCCCGCATTGCAGGCAGACACTTTACCATCTGAGTCACCAGGGCAAAGGACACTTTTAAGGCTATTACCATATCCAATTTGTATATATGTTGAAAATCAAGATCAATGATGAAACACTTACCTCTAAAGCATAGAAGAAGCCTGTAAATGGACTGGACCCTACAGTGATATACTGAGACATGGCTGGTGGGCTGTTTTTAATTGCTGCATTATATCCACCTATATTTGAGGCAGTCTTCATTTGATCAAAAGGGGACAGAGTCATAATACCTAATGACAAAACAACAACAATATGTGGTTTTAATGCACTGAAATGACACTGTCATTTTAGATTACTAGATTTTTATTTCAACTCCATTCTAAAATGCTAACTGCTGAGTTTCATTTAATAGATGAAAGTCATTTTTAAAAGCTACAAGATCAATGCCATAAAACATCCATAAGATATTAAAATTGCCATCTACAATTCCTCTAAGCTATAAAATATACAAAACAATTTAAATATTAATTTTTTAAACAGATAAAAACTTCAAATGGTATAAGAAATATAGAGTCTATCAATATCTCCAGGTATAAGTTTACTTTTTTGAGGTAACAACTGAAATATTTTCTTATGTTGCTTTCCAGAAATGTTATAGGTACATAAATGACAGTACACCAAATCAACTGATGTGTGTCTTGTTTTTTAAATTTAATAAACTATCAAGGAGACATGCTCATTCTTGGCAGTCACTCAGAGTACTCCACTGTGGGGTCATGCCATAATTGATCTGACCTTCTGATGGACATCTGAGTTGGTTCTCACCTTTTACCACTACAAATAATGCTGCGATATACGTCCTTGACAGATCTTCGCATTCCTACATACAAGTTCATCTGTATGGCAAATCCTTATAAACAGAAGTGCAGGCTCAAAAGCGGATCTACATTTTTAAACAATTTTGTTAAGTACTGTGACATGGCATTCCATAGAGGCAGTGCTGCCTTACATCCTCACCAGAAAGGTAGTGGAGCATCTCTGCTTCCATATCCTTTCCCACACAGTGAAAACAAACCCTTTCAAACATCTACTTTGTAGTCCAGAAATCCCCAGCCTTCCATAATGAAGAGTTACTGCTGACTTCCCCAAGGTACTAAGAGTAAAAGCAGACAATGGCGAGGAGCAGCAGAGGAAAAGCCAACATCATGTACATTCACCTGGGTAGCAGAGAGAGAAGGATGGGGCAAGTGAGCTTAGAGATCTAGAAAGTAAAGATCTGCTGCTAGATTTCGTCTCGGGTGATGTTTTCCAACTCAGGTACTCCTGGTACACAAAGACAGCCAATTCTGAACACAAACATACTGCAGAATGGAACAGGAGTTATTTTCATTTTCATATGTATGTACTGCCTCTATTATGAATGCATTGCTCCTGAAAGAGAGTCCTGGGAAAGGAAATGTTTTTCGGGTGTTCATAAGCAAACCTCTTACTGGACTGAGGATTTAAAGTCATCAAATTTTAATCCTTACAAAAGCTGACCTATTCTGAAAGATCAGAATGCCTGTCCTATTTATGAATGAATTCATGATTCAATATACAAAGTGTTTTTATGACATGATTAAATATGCTGACTGTACCAGCACAAAATCAAAGGCTGAATGGTATCACACATAAATTGAAATTTTTAAGTTTTAAAATGCTTTCTCTTCATACTCTACACACTATAGGTGTGTGACTTTGTTTTTTGAGTCACCAATTTTAGCATTATTTTTCACTGATTTAAGGTAAATGAAAATATAACTTACAGTCCTTTTTCTCTCCATATTCTTCCAATATAACCATATCTCAATTTTTAAATTAAATTCGCATTCACCCTTCTCACTATAAAGAACTCTAAGTATTACTGCTGACACAAGCTGCCTACTGTAATTATGTTGCCTTAGATGTAAATTTTTTTTCCTTCTGAATTTGTTACTACCTTGTCTTTTAGGGTTTTCCCTGAACATCTGAGGCCTTTCCACACTGTGAAACACCTTACAGTTCTTAACATAAACTTCCGGAAGGTTAAAGTCACCGGATAATTTTCGAGGCCTGTATACTGGCTAAAGGAGGTCACTTTGATAAAACGGCATTTGAACAGATACCTGTTTGAAGTGAGGGAGAGAGCCATGTGACTGGCTGGGTGAAACTCCAGGCAGAAGGGGCAACTACAAAGGCTCCGAAGTGGGAGGACGCTTGGTGTGGCGGAGGGGCAGTGAGATCAGCGAGGGGGAACAGGGGTGAGGAAGGGGAGTTCTGCAGGAGATATGAGGCCTTCGGGTTTTATGAGGAATAAGATGGGAAGCCACTGGAAGGCTGTGAGCAGAGAAGTGGCAAAAATATGACTTATATTTTACAAGGATCATGTTAGCTGCTACTGGGTAAAGACATTTTAGGAAAAGAAGAAAGGCAGCAGAAAGACCAGTTAGGATTTTCACTTCCTCAGTAGTTCAGGCAAGAAACAACGGTGGTGTGGACTACTATGCTGACAATGATGGAGAGGATATGTGGTCAGATTCCGGATTTACTGTGAGGGTAGCTGAGACAAACGTGGACTGGATGAGGAGTGTGAGAAAAAAAGGAGAATCAAGGATGACTCAAAACCTTTTGGTGCAAGCAAGAGAAGACGACAGAGAAGGACAGAGGAGGACTAAGTTTGATGGGAGAAGTCAAAAATTCGGTTTGGGATATGTTAAGTTCGGATACCCATGGGGAAGTGTTCACCAGGAGCTGGAAAATGAGTAAGAAGGTTAGTGAAGTCAGGACTGGAGTCAAAATGGAGATGCTGTGAGTTGATTTCTTGTTCTTGTATTTCTGAGTTTTGAAAGTAGGGGGTGGAAATATTTACTCTTAAATGTACTCCAATGCGGCTTTCATTCTCACCATTCCACTTAAACTTCTAAGAATCAACGAACGTTGTTAAATCTCCTTTCGTGAATTCTGTGATGCATTCCACAGTTAACCATTCCCTCCCAAATTTATACTGATAATCTGGACCTCTTTCCTGACCTTTAGACTCATGTATCTGTCTACCTGGCAATTCCATTTGGAAATCTGTGTCAGAAGTTAACCTGTAAAAACCACAACTCTCCACTCGTTCACTCCTACCGCTTCCTTCTCCTATCCTCTTTTCAGCCACAGCCTGAACATTCACCCAGTTGTTCACACTTAAAAACTAATAAATCTCTGACCCCTTCTCTCTTTACTAATATCCATCCCTTGGCAAGTGCCAACTACATCTTCAATTTGTCTACTCTCTAGCACCACTGCCTCCTCCTGAGACAAAATCCTCATTCTCTCTCTTGTTCCAACAAACTTTTTGCTAGTCTCCTTGCTTTCATTTTTTATTCCACAAGTCTCTCCCTGAAGAGCAGTCAGAGGGATATTTTTAAATATCCCATACTTAGAATCCATCAATGGCATTCACTGTGCTCAGAATAAAACCCAAACTCCTCACAGCTATGTGATCTGACCTTGGTCCATGTCTCCAACCTTACCTGGTCCCTCTTCCTCACTTTACAATCAAGGCACGTCCACCTCCTTTCTGTTTCTTTAACCCTTCAGGTTTTGACTGCACGCCATCCCCGCGCCCCTCTAGACCAGGCCTCTATCTCTGCTGCTTTCTCTCCTAGAATGCTTATCCTTCGTTCACATAGTGGCTGCTTCCCATCCTTTGTGTCTCAGGAGGGGCCTGTGCTCACCCGTGTACCTAGTCCCCTTGTTCTTTTACTTCTGTCATTACCCTCTCCTTATTTTCATGATGCTCACTAACATTTTGTTATTACCCTATTTATTCTTTTGGTTTAATAGTTTCTTTTTTGTCTCCCCATCACCAGAACCTAAGCTTCGTCAGGGCAGGGGTCCTGTCTGCCTTGTATTTCTAGCACCAAGACTAGTGCCTGGGACACAACAGGTATTCATTCACTTCTTTGTTGAATGAGTTAATCAGACCTTTACATAAACATGTATATGGAATAAAGCTCATGGCATGCCCCCTCTTTTTTATTTTTCCATTTTGTAGGCTGGGAGATAAATGAATAGAATAAAATTTTCTATCCAATCATTTCTCCTAGCCTGTTTCAATGTTCCAAAGTTTAATTAACAGAACAAGGAAGTCACCCTGAACTGAACTCAACACTTTGGAGTTTTGCAACATTTCTGTGTTCACAAAAAGTAAAGATAAATGGAATGTCTACCAACAAGGTGCTTATTACAGATCACAGGCAGACCTCAGAAATATCGCAGGTTCAATTCCAGACCATCAAAAGGAAGTAAGTATCATGGCAAAGTGAGTCAACAAATATTTTGGTTTCCCAACGCAAATAAAAATATGTTTATGCTATACTGTAGCCTGTTAAGAGTACAATAGTATGGTGTCTTAAAAAAACAATGAACATACCTTAATTTAAAAATACTTCTTTGCTAAAAATTGCTAACCATCATCTCAGCCTTCAGTGACTCCTAATCTTGTCGCTGGTAGAGGAGTTGAAACATTTCAAGAGTTACCAAAATATGACACAGAGACATGAAGTGAGCTAATGCTTTTGGAAAAATAGCACCCAGAGATTTGCTTGACAAAGGTTGCCACAAACCTACAATCTGTGAAAAATGTAGTATCTTCCAAGTGCAATAAGACAAGGTCTGTCTGTATTCCATATAAGAAATGCAACAATAAACAAAGACGCTCTGTGTCAGGTATCTTCAGTTTGCCCCTCTGGATTCACACTCCTTCCTGCTCTCCCTCCCAGTGTGTGTATGTTATGGACCCAGAATTTGAGCTGGATTCAGACAATGGGAAGCCCCATCAGGAGGTCAAAGACAGAAAAGAAAATGAAGTCAGGATACGTATTTCCTTGGGACCATTGGCCAGAAACCACCCAGCTCTTAAGGTGCTGATTCTACTCATTATTTCGAACGAGTAGAATTTAGGCCTAGGAGCAGCTAACAGTCGACTGCTAATGAGCCCTGAGACACTGGACTATCCTGTGTGGTTCTCCTATACTACGACTCTACAAGTGGTTTCTCAGCAAAAACCTCATTTTATCTTATTTTTTCTTCCTTTATATTTTAGGTGCTATTTGAAAAATCTAATAAGCACATATTATTAAACAGAAAAAAATAGGAATATATTTTAAAATAACACTTCCTTCTTCTCTACCCCCATTTCTACTCTTAGTTCAGAAGCCCATCACTTCTTACTGAGATTATCATAGCTTCCTTACTGCACTTAGTTTCTCGTCTTGACCCCTCAAAGTGATTTTTCCAACAGGCTATGTGACAATACCATTTTCTTGTTCAGAATCTTTTAAGGACTCTCAACATGGTGATGAGAAAAATAAAAGTTCCTGTGCACAGTCTCCTAGGCCTTCACAATCTGGCTCCTACTCATAGGCTGGCCTCACTCGGGCCAGTTCTCACTGTTTTTCCTGCACACAACGCACTTCCAGCCCCATGTGATACCTGTTCACTGAAGTGCCTCTCTGATGCTTGTCCTCCTGGTCAAGTCCCACTCATTCTTTCAATCTCAGATTGAGGTAAACCTCCAGTTTCCTGATTCCCTCGGGCTTCTCCTCTGCTCCCCCTGGAGGAGTAGGTCCACTTGCTGATTCTGACAACTGTCATGCTGTGATACCGTAATTGTTTCCACATGTTTCTCCCAACCAGCCACATGCATCCTGACAGCAGAAACAAGTCTTTCCATCTCTGCATTCCTCACACCTAACACAGTAAGCCTTCAAATACAGGTCACAAGAAGACATACGCTTTACTCTATACCCTGTTGATCTAAAGGTTACATTTTTAGAAGACTGATCTGGCAATTATATGAACCAAACTCATCTATATAAAACTTCAGTCAAATAGTGGGTGATCCAAGACTGTACAGTAGGGACTTCCCTGATGGTCCAGTGGTTGAGACTTTGCCTTCCAATGCAGGGGGTGCAACTGGATCTGTGGTCAAGGGAGCTAAGATCTAACATGTCTCATGGTCAATAAATCAAAACCAAAACAGAAGCAACACTATAACAAATTCAATAAAGATTTTAAAAATGGCTCCTATTAAAAAACAATCTTATATAAACAAAACAACAATGGAAAACCTGTACAGTACTGCTTATGCTAAGCGCATAATTACTAAAACCACTACCATTCCTTAAAGACATTAACTTATGATCATCTCTCTAAGTCTGAACTACCCTCCAAATGTCTCACTGAAGACAATGATTTTCTTTTCACATGAGAATAAATGTTATTGTTGTTGTTCAGTTGCTAAGTCATGTCCAACTCTTTGCAACCCCACAGACTGCAGCCTGCCAGACTCCTCTGTCCATGGGATTTCCCAGGCAAGAATACTAGAGTGGACTGCCATTTCCTTTTCCAGGGGATGTTCCAGTATCCAGGGATCAAATCCAAGTCTCCTACACTGGCAGACAGAATTTTTTTTTAACCACTGAGTCATCAGGGAAGCTCTGAGAAAAAATCTACACTTCCAATAAATGAGATACTTCTATCAAAGAGTATAAGAAGTAAGTTCCAAAAGAACTGGAACTAGTAATGGCTTACCAATACTGGCATGATCAATAATTGTGTCAATATCTTGTAGACCCCATTTCTTATAAGCTAATGGCGGTGGCTGGATGTTCTCATTGCCTGATGCTGCAGCTGTCAAAGATAAAAATTAGACAAACCAAACTTAAATATAATGGAGAAAAAGAAATTTTACCAAAAATCATTAAAAATATAATAACTTGATTATTCTAAAGTAATTAAAAATAAAGTAATATAAACCATGCATACAGTGAGATTTACTCACACCAAGACAATATACATAAAATGCATATATTAAAAGACTAACTTGGCTGACATAAGAGATTCTGGAACACTTAAGGAATTAGACAACACTACTAAAAACTCTAGACTACCATCAAAAATAAAGATGAATTCAAATTGCAATTGAAGCCAAGTATGCAATTTCTCCCTCTTGAGAAAGACAGTGAATAAAATCCTTGAAGCAGCAACCAGTGTCTTAGTGAAACCTGATGGTACACCCAGCAGAAGCACACATAAGAAAATAGAAAGATCTCAAATGCAAATAATTGAGACCAGGCTTGACAGAAAGATAGCTAACAGCGACAGCACTCCCAGGAAAATGAAGGAAATGCTGACCACTGACCATGGTATTTCCACCTAGGGAGTGAGGAATGAAAAGAAAAGCAGCAGTTACACCTTGGGCCACAGGTTCATGCACAAGACCCCACTCGTCAGTACATTCTCAGGCTATGTGTTATAGAATATAGCTGGATTCTCGTCACTTATTCAGGAAGGTGAAGAAAAGTACTGTGACAAAGGAAAACAGTAATCCTCTAAGCACTTCAGATTTGAGAGTAACGCCAAGTAGAGAGTTTTCCTATACTGTGAAATAAAAGTCACAACAATCTGTACCTAAGTAATCAGATATTTAGAGCAACTTACAGTAAGAGGGCAGTAAGTGGCTTACTTACTTGCTAGGAGATAAAATGGCTTTATGATCTCATACATAATAAAATAAATGGCAATTCAAAAACAGTAAAAATGAAATGGCTAATGATACCGATTAAAGCATAACTGTCTATTTCTAGTTTATTTTACTGCAGAATTCTTATGCAGAGAAAATTACAAAATTCTTAAACCTATAGAAAATTCTATAAAAATGACAAATATATTAATGGTGACTATTTGAAATTTCTCCAAAATAACAGACATTGAAACTTTACGTGGACTAAATTTAAATAATTTAAAAGATTATGAAAATAGGTATAAAAAATCAAACAAATTCTGACTTTACAGAAAAGCATGTACTACTAAAGAACCACATAACCAACAACATACTATATCATATATAGTATATGATACATATATATATACACACACACACATATAATACATATATATCAACCTGTTAAAAAAACAGTGAAAACTGTTCTACTGCAATGTGAGATGCTGCATTCTCTCCCTGGAAGAAATTGCTTCTTCTGTGTCTTACAGTTTAGTTTTGGATTTATGAACAATCTTTATGAACTGGATAGCACATCTTAATTAAACTCTCCTTTCAGGGAGCTAAATGATTTACAAGCTAAACTTTGCTCTTTTTAGGGCCATGAAGGCTCCTTTATTCCAAACCAGAAGAAAATGGGGTAGGTAAGTCAGCACCAACACTGGTTATCTGCACCGACTTGGGGATTTTTGTACTTTTATTTTAATATCTCTAAAACTGGAATCTTAAAACTGATGGTGTGACTCTTACTGGCAGCATTTTTGCTTCTTAGTGGAACAGAAAATAATAGTGCATCTTGATTTTTGATGAAACACAATATCCTCTTCTAAAGACAAAATAGCCTCAGAGTTTAAACTATGGGTAGGGAAGGTTAAAGTGCACATTTCATGCCAAAGTCTGGAACTGACATAGTTGCCTACATAGATTATATTTAGGTCTCTTAAGTTTTCTCTGTTCAGAAGTGTTTCAAGTTAGCTAAAAGCAGCTGATGCTGCCTGCCTGTGGAGTCCTGCCTAGTGTGAGGAAAACGCCCTCTGCACATTCTCTGCTTTTTTCACCCCCAGAGAGTGGAAGCAAGGCAGAATCACAAGATTTTAGTATGCTGGCCCCAGTAGTGCTCATCTATTGAGAAATCTGGTTCCTCAGTGAGACGCAACTGAATTCTCTATCCCAGTGCTGAACTTCTCTCTCAACTGGCCAAGACATATTGCTGAATTAGTGAAAAAAGCCAACAGTTCAACTGGCAACATGAGAGCTAGAGGTCTAGTCCTCACCTGCATCTTACCAATTAAGCAATCTACTGTGTGTAGTCGCTCAGTCGTGTTCAACCCTTTGCAACCTCATGGACTGTAGCCTGCCAGGCTCCTCTGTCCATGGCGATCCCCAGGCAAGAATACTGAAGTGGGTTGCCTTGCTCTCCTCCAGGGGATCTTCCCCACCCAGGGATCGAACCCAGGTCTCCCACATTGCAGGCGGAGTCTTTACCATCTGAGCCACCAGGGAAGCAATCTACTACACTCCCATTTCTATAGTAGTGGGTGGTTTTTTTTTTCTCTTTAGAACTAGTTCAGAAGGCCTTTTTAATTTAGAAGACGTATTTTTCTAAGTAGATTAAATTAAATAAGACAATATCACCACAAGTTAGCTATTTCTTGCCCCAAATTACCTTTTGCTACCTGATTTCGACAAGCACGAAGAGACTGAAAAAGGCTAAATCCATCAATAGTCACAATGGCAGCTGGATATAATATACTCAACTCTTCATTCTGTTAAAGGAAGAAGAAAGGAGAAAATATTTCCATTACTGCCAAATAAGCATATCCATGTTTCTGTTATAGCTGAATATCACGATTAATGTAAAATAAAGGAATACTATAACTAAACAACCATCAAACACCCAACACATAAGACAATAGCAGGCAGAGGAATAGTAAAAAACAAAAAGACTTTGTTTTTTTTGAATGCCTTTTGGTCAAGGACTTAAAATTCTTCTCAAATATGAGCCTTTGTACATGGTGAATATTTTCGGGACAGACAAAGGGAGTAACCCAAATTTAAGTACAAGTTTCATAAAAGTGAAATTTAGTCACTATATGGATGCAAACAATACATAAAAGTCAAAAGAAAAGAAACTCACCTGAAATCCCAGACTTATTTCAGTATATAGGGTCATACATAATCACACACTTTTGTACAAGACTATACCATATACAGTATTCTGTAACAGGTTTTTCCTTATTCAGTAATGTATCAATGATATTCTTCCATTTCAGTAAGTGAGCAAATCAATTTTTGTTGTGGGGATGCTGTATTGCATCGTATGTACCAAAATTTCAGTTATTATTGATGGACATTTAGTTTGGCCTGCTGGTTCCAGTCTCTCTCTCCACCATCCACACTCCACAGCTGGAGTGATCTTCCTGAGACAAAGCAGAACAAACTACTGCCCTGATTAAATCTCTCCACTGGCTCCCTTCTGCACTTAGAATAAAACCTGAACTCTACTCAAGCTTCAAGATGGGGCCTCTCCCTCCAATATCATCTTGTCCCTCTCCCCTTGCACCCTGAACACAAAGGTCATTGCACCTTCACCTCTCAAGTCGTTGCCTGCCTTTCTTTTGATCACTCAGATCTTGGCTCAAATGCAGGTGCTCTGAAAGGCTACTCCTGAGTCTCTGTCTCAAACATCAATTACATTTCCTTGTCTCATTTCAACCTCATTAACATGATTACTTCCCTCACGGCACCTATCAGAGGCTGGAAACATCCTGGAAAATCTCCAGCTGTTCATCATTGGTTACCCTCCATCACCTCCAAACTGTAGGCTCCACAAAAGCAGAAACCTAGCAGGTCTGGTTCAAAAATGGATTCTCAGTGATTACAACTGGGCTGGGCACATAATGGGCAGTAAATAAATGTTTATGAATGAAAGAAATACTTTCATTATTATAAACATCACTGCAGTAAACATTCTTTTGTATGTATCTTTTCACATCACTTTGATCTAAATTCATTCAAGGAGGTCTGTTGGGTCACAAAGCATTCACAATTTTCATTTTCATCCATATTATTAAACTATCTCAAGAAAGTACCTATCAGTTTATAACTCCACCAACAATACATGACAGTGCCTGATTCTTCCTCTGTCACCAAGCTTTGTTAATCTTCATCTTTGCCAATCTGAAGGGTGAAAAATTATCCAAATGTAGCTGCTTATAGTTCTGAGATTATTAGTAACGTTCAAAAGTTTATCATATGCTGTCGACCAGTTATATTTCTTCTTTTGAGAACTGCCTTGTCCTTTTTTTCCACTGGACTATTAGGTGTTTCCATTTTTAAACATTTTTGTGGGCCACAAGGGGTGGGAGCTGATGTCAGGGTTCACAGGACAATTTGACAATGCTAAGCTTACGCAGTCCACTGAGCAGGGCCGAGGGAGAGAGGTCCCTGACAGGGAGGAGCCAATCACCAGCTAGCCAAGTATCTCCAAAACAAGACTGTTTTCCTGAAAAAGATACTCTTACAAACACCAGTGTCCAAAAGCTGCAGAAATTGTGCTAAATGATAGGGATTTTTGTGCAGAAACCACAGAAGAGGCTTCTTTGGCATTCCAGAAAAACATCTCCCTTTGGAATCTTCTCCTGCAAAGATCAGTTATCCCACCTACTACACTCACTGCCCCAGAACTGAATTACAAGGAAATCTGCTCTTGTGATCTTTAATAGGTGTGGGAGTGCACTAAAGATGCAGCAAATAGATTTTTCTGATATACAAACTGATGTGTATTGGACCAAAAGATGCTTCTATAAAATACAGAGTAACAACAAAGACTTCCCTCCGTGTGTTTAATAAACAGTTTTCAGTGAAAAGATTTTGACTCACAAATGCAAACAGCAATCAAGTATATAAATGTAAGTTATATTTTTCCACCAGCTCTAAAAACAGATTATTACAAACATAGTCAAGTTTAAAGTGTTTAAAGAACCTTCATCTTCCAAGGAATTTGTTTTTGTTTTTTTTTTTTTTAAAAAGGGAAATGGCTCTTGAGAGGCAGCTTCAATAAACAGATCACTGTCTTGGATTTCCAACAGTTCCTTGTTTGTTTCCTGCAATAGTCCCATTTCCTCCCAACTCTTTACGATCAGTATTATAACTTAAGTCTTCAGCCTTCAGTTTCATTTTCCTGTAACGGGTTCTTGGAAGAGTTCGTTCAATATCTGTGACTTCAATCATCATCTTCAATCTAGCCTTTGTGCCTCTGGGATAGTTCTGTATCACTACAGGCATGATGGTATTTTCATTTTATTTCCTACAATCACCTCAAACATGTACAAAATAAAATTTAAAATCTTTGTATACTACCAAGGCAGTCCCTTCTTCCAACTTCATCAATGGCATGCCTCATGCAGGAGATCTTAGAGCCAAATCATTTTTCTCTTTAAATTTGACACCTTGGGACTTTCTTGGTGGTCCAGTGGTTAAGAATCTGCCTTGCAATGCAGGGGACGCAGGTTTAACCCCTGGTAGGGGAACTAAGATCCTACATGCAGTGGAGCAACTAAGCCTAGATGCTGCAACCCCTGAGCCTGCGCACAACTAGAGAGTCTGTGTGCCACAGTAAAAGATCGCCCATGCCACTACTAACATGAGATACAGCCAAAAAAAAAAAAAAAAAATTTAGCATCTTGATACAGTAACCCAGTCCTGTCAAATGTTCCTCCCTCTTCCCACAGCCATTCCAGTCCTGGCTCACAGCACTACACTCTATTACTGATAACTGAAAAAACAGGATAACTAGCCTCCCTGATTCCAGATTCTCACAAATCCAATTCATCTGGAACAAAGTCCTTCAAGATCCCTTTGAAGATACTACTTCCCTCTCATCAACCTCTAGTAGCTTCTGAATCTTCTGAAGCAATTCTGATTTTCACTTGGCTTTCAAATTTATAAACAATCTGGTGACTCAGACTATTTGACAGTTTCTCAGTTTCTTATACAGTTTCTTTGCTGTCTCACAGTTCCATGTTTCAATCTTCCCTGATTTTTTTTTCCTAACTACCTAAAATATTTTCCCTTCTTTTCTAAGTTCTATACCCATTTTCAAGGCTTAATTCAAACTCTACCTCCTCGATGAAATTTTCCTTTATTACCCTAGTCCTAACTGAGCTCCCTCTTCTCTAAGTTTGCACAGAAGTTATTCTGTTCATGTAAACTAGCAACTCATAAGGTAATGCTTAATATTACTGATTAACTCATTCACCAGCATTAACAGATATTAGTCTAGTCTTTCTTACTGGTTAAATTTCACTCCAGTCCATCTACCACACAATTTAAGTCCACAAAGGAACACAATATTTATACATCTGCTTACTTCAAACCTCTTGGAAGCCAGACAGCACAAAGAGAGAAGGCATATTATATAGTTTTGACAATGTACCACACAAGATGTGCTGGACAAGAGCATATTAGTTTATGTGGCTTCTACAATTACTGTAGACACAATCAAAATTTTTGACTGTGAGACAACCAAAACCTAGGTGAGACACAGCACCTAGAAAGAAGTGAAAACTGTGGCATGCCTTAGACATTCAATACTGTTCTTTTCTCTATCAAAATTTTCTATGAAAATAAAATATTTTCCACAGTAAATAAAAACTGAATAACCCCTTTTCTGAGAAATAGGTTAGTGCAATATAGTAGCACTATTAATGATACAGCTAAATCTTTTTTCTTTTACTCTACATACTTTTAATACCTACTTCCAAATAAAAAAGATATAAGGTTATATAAAACTATTTTTTACCTTAAGTCACTATTAAGTTTTAAAAATGAGAAAACCTTTTGGTTTCTAACTTAAGTGTTTTATTTCACTGTGGAGCAAAGCATACAATATTTCAGTAAGACTTACTTACTGGTGCAGGACTGGTGTTCCTTACTCAGCTATGAATAGCTTCTATTTCTAAAATCTGACTAACTATGAGCTAACTGTGCCACAAGAAGATACCTTAAAGCTTCCACCCAACCAGAAGAAAGGAGAAACTACTTCAGAGTAAAGCCACTGTCCCTCTGGACACAATCTCTTACGCGACCTGCTCAGTCACGCCAGGATGTCGTGGGATTTCGTAGGTCCTGCATTTGAGCTGAAGCACTGAGTCCTCGTTCAGGAGCTGGGCAAGCAGGAGCACGCCGTTCTAGGAGGAAGCACAGAGACAGCCCCGCTTGTTTTCTCACAAATATACCTGCACAGGCGTGGCTGGGCAGAGAGCGGCGTTTCCCCCACAAGTCTTCCGGGGATGCCAGGTGGTCTGCCTGCAGAAGAACATGGCTTCTCTTCTCTCTAGTTTACAGCAGAACTTTCCACCAGCACGGCTCCCCCGTTCCAGCCTTCACCCCCATAAGGAATAACTACACATTCAAGTGGCAGGGAGTGAGTCACAAAGGAGTGTAATGGGAACGCGGAACCAGGTTTTCCATTCAAATGGTGCCTTTTAACTGCGTAACACTCATCTCACCTCTGTGTAGAAGCGTACATAACCCGAAGTAAAGCCCACCACGATGCAGGTCCAGTCTGGACGTCCAGTGGAACTCCTGTTACAAACAAAATCAATTATCTTAAGAGTTCATACATCAAACCAAAAAAAAAAAAAAAAAAGACTTACTTACTCACTTATCCTTACCTCTTCTGGCTTGCTAGTGGAATGCACAGAGCACTGGTTACACACTCCCTAAAAACAAAGACAAAATCATATGTTTACCCAATCAATTTATCAATGACTTTTGTATCTCTCTGATTGGATGTTAAAGGACAATTAAGTGGAAGATGAGCTCTGTGGACCAGTTGTAGCCAATATATAAATTTAAAAAATGAGCAAAACTCCACCATAAGGAGGCTAATAAAACCTATTCACATAAAAGCTAATATCACATTCACTTGAGGTTAATAAAAAAACAGTATTTTTCATTCTGTATTGTCATGAAAAGTATAAAAGTAAAAAAGTAAACCTCTACCGTATACAACTGATTATACACAAAAGTAAGAAAACATCAACCAAGCAGTCATTTCCCACTGTTCCCCTCTCCTCCTCATCAGTGAAGAACTTGGGCAAAGGTGGGAGGAACTGGCAATCACACAACAGGCAAACTGCATTTCTGTTGAGAACGTGATTCTAGAGACTTGCCATATTTCAACTGGCTGGCTTCTTTTTTTATATTTTGTAGAAATTGCTGCTGATAGCCTATTTCTAAGAACCTGCTGGGCTGGATGGTCCCTAAAAGATTTTTCTTTTTCTGACATGAAGATTCAAGAAAAATTTGTCCCATGCCCAGAGACAGGCCTCAAAATTAAAATAACTCCTAATGACCTCTTCCTTAAACTGTCAAAACTCAGGACCATCACCAGCTTATTCAACAAACTATAAATCCTCTTCCCCATTCATCAAACTAGACACCAAACAAAATGAATCTTTTTGGTTTTTGCTGTCTCTAAGGTAACTGAAAACATATTAAAGTTAACACACGAGCATAAGCGGGTGAGGCTCCTGACAGCCCAGCCCTCCTGTCGTGCCTGTGTGCTTAGTCGTGTCTGACTCTCTGCGATCTTCTGGGCTGTAACCTGCCAGGCTCCTCTGTTCATGGGGCTTTCCAGCCAAGCACACTGGAGTGGGCTGCCATTTCCTTCTCCAGGGGATCTTCCCGACCCAGGGATCGAACCCACATCTGTGTCTCCTGCAGTGCAGGTGGATTCTTTACCAGGTAAGCCATTGGGAAGCCCTAAAGTAACTGAACCTTGCATGTGCATTCCTGAAAGAAATTAAATGTCTCAAAACGCTTAGACTAAATGACTCAAGGAGAAACAGCATTTATTTTGACAAGAGTAGAAAACAATTCACTGAGTCTCTGTAGAGTATCATCATGTACTATGGATTTCTACTTGATTGTCTTTTATCTGAATTTAAAGTCTAAAAAACCTTATTCATTCCAACTAGATAACTTTCAGTCATAAAAATTTAACTGAAAACAATTGTTGGCTGCAGGTTTCAGGCTAGCAGCTCCATCACGGAACCATACTAGAGATCTGGTTTTAAAACTCTAACCGGGTCGGTAGGAAACTTGAATTTACTAACTTGCATTTCTTAAGTATTTATGAGTTTTAAGAATTAATGTAGCACTGTCCCCTTTAAGTACAAGCCCAGTGCTAACAAAGCAGAGAGGACCATAGCAACCCTTGACTTTTTGGCGGAATAAAATTAACAATGAGGGACTTCCCTGGTGGTCCAGAAGTTAGAAGTGCACACTTCCACTGCAGGAGACACAGTTTTGATCCTTGGTCGGGCAACTAAGATCTCATATGCCACGTGGTATGCTAAAAAATAATAATAATAATAATAATAAACAGCTAAGGAAAAGACTGCTCGTGGGGTTCTCAAGGCAAGAATACTTGAGTGGTTTGCCATTCCCTTCTCCAGGGGACCACATGCTGTCACGGGGTCGCAAAGAATCTGACACAACTGAGTGACTGAACTGAAGGAAAAGACAAAATGTAGACAGGATATTATGGAATTCTCTTTGCACTCTCCTATAAATCCTCTCCAAACACAAGGGTTTTTTTTTTTGGTTCTTTGATTAATAATTACATGGTTAATAAAATTAAAATCTACTGCCCAAATCACGCTCTACAATCTCTAAAGCTGCAATGAACATACATTTAACCAACATTCCAATTGATGAAATGTCTTAGCAGATTGATATATAAGTCAAACAATTTCACATATACATTTAACATATGGAGAGACAAAAAGAACTAACAGGTACCTACCCTTCTTCAACACTTAAAGAACCACTCCAACCAACAGCAAACTGCATTTCTTCCTTCCCTTTATCACTATGCTTCCATTTCGCTGGGAAAAAAAAAAAAAATCATCACACAAAATAACTTTAATTACAGCATAATAAAGCAGAGAATTTATTACTTTCATTCTTTTCCTTTAGGATGATGAGTGCAGAATTTAATAGTTCTATATTAATTGATGTGGGTCTTTCTATAAGTAAATATAAGATGTTTTAAAATTTTTATAAGATTGTTATTAAAAAACTCTCTCTTTAGTCTTTCTTCCAATTCAATCCATATAACAAAGTTATTAATTCTTATGTATTATCCCACCATTTTTATTTATAAAACTTTTATCTTCAATTGGCAGAGAAAAATTTTCTAAAAGATTTATGCTATTGGAGGGCAAATCTGCTTAATGGCACCACTCGGTACCCACTTAATACAAGACCTTATTTTGATCAGTGAGGTTTTCCACATTCTATGTATAGCCAAACTTTAAATTTAATCTTCAACAAAAATTGTAAGCTAAGCTTATACCCCAAATAGGAAACAACAGTACTGTGAGCTTTTAAATTAGAGTTGAGAGTCACCCAATTCACATTATTGCTAAGAAGGGATCAGTGGCCTTTTTAGCTCTAACTGCCCCTTGTGAGAACTGGGCAATGCCCAAAACTGCTTCTGAAGTGCCAGAGAGAGACAGCTAGAGTATCTGCAGCCAAGGATAAAAAACAGAGAGGAAAGAAACAGAAAAGAAAGCAAAAGAAATGGGAAGAAGAAGAAATAAAAGAGAATTAAAAGTGCTGTGCAACATATAAAACTATCAAATGCTACCATATAATAGAGAAGTAACATGTTTTCTTTCTCCCTAATCCATTCTCTATTCTATGCATTAAAATAAATGAAAATTACAGAGTACTTACGCACTAGAAATACAGCTTTTTGTTCCCGAGCTATAACCATAAGATCATTGGTTGGAGATAATGATAAAATACAATCTTGAAGCCAGGAAGTTTTTTGTGGTTTGCAAGTATTTCCTTCTTCTTCCTGTTGAGTAAAACTACAATTACTTCCATGGAAACATATCAAGAACAGTTCAATTCACCTTGTCCATCTTGAGAAGCAAGGGAAAAGAAACCTTACCAATTCTTTTATAGTCTCAATAATATCTGTTATCAAAACATGTCAAAGATGACCAATTAAAAAAATACTCACCACAAGCAGATCTCAGTTTTGAAAATTCACATAAAATTTTTAAATAAAACAGATAGCAAGACATTAAAAGAATCTCACACAGGGACCATTCCAGAAATGATTTAGTTAGGAAATTTGGTAACCAATCCTACTTGAGACAGATAGCTAGGGCATCTGCAGCTAGACAGCAAAGAAAATATTACCTGACACTTATGGCCTGTAAAGTATGATAATTATGACATCTCTATTTTATGTGGTCTGAAAGGTGTTTTCTTTTTTTCAACTGAACATGTACTTACTATATAGGTAAATTCCTATGGTTAAAAAGTCACAGACCCAAAAAGGTCTTTGCAAAGTCTGACAATTCCTGTATTCCAGCCGCCCTGCTGTTCACTCTGGAGACAGCAGTGTGACTGTATCTCATGTGCACTTCCAGAGACACCATGCACATAGGCCAACAGGATTAACTACCCCTGCTCCTTTTCTGACACAAATGGGAGCATGCTACACAGATACTTCTGTATTGTATTCTTCTCTCAACACACACCTTAGGTTTCACTCTGCCTAAAGCTGCGTCGCTCCTGGTGGCTGCAGAGCCACCGCAGAAGCACCCCGCCCCCACCAACTGGCAGCTGTGCTGCCCACACTCTCCTGCTGCCACAGATGACGCTACAATGGATAACTTCATACGTTTACAGCTTATGAGGGAGGGTGCCAGCAGGATAAGCTCCTGGTCAAAGGGAACGTGTGTTAGTGAATCTGCTAGCTGGGCCCAAACTGTGCTCTGCAGAAGTTGAGTTAATTTATAATCTGACCCAGCAAGTTTCCAAAGTGCTTGCTTCCTCAGGGACTCTTCAAAAGTGCTTTAACTCGGATCTCTGTCCAACTAGCACATGAAAACTAGTATCTTAGTCTACAGCATTGCTCTTATGAGTGAGAATGGGTATTTTTTCATATGCTTAGGAGACTTTTCTATGAACAGTATGCTCCTTTCCTTTGCAGACCCTCTGTTGGGTTGCTGTTCTTTCTCTAAGTGATTTGTATATACTTTTTTTTTATACAAAGCATTTATTTTTCCTGATAACATTGTATTGCTTACTGGAGATTTATTTTGTTTTTTTTTCCCATTTATTTTTATTAGCTGGAGGCTAATTACTTTACAATATTGTAGTGGGTTTTGTCATACATTGACATGAATCAGCCATGGATTTACATGTATTCCCCATCCTGATCCCCCCTCCCACCTCCCTCTCCACCCGATTCCTCTGGGTCTTCCTAGTGCACCAGGCCCGAGCACTTGTCTCATGCATCCAACCTGAGCTGGTGATCTGTTTCACCCTAGATAATACACGTTTCGATGCTGTTCTCTTGAAACATCCCACCCTCGCCTTCTCCCACAGAGTCCACACGTCTGTTCTGTACATATGTGTTTTGCACATAGGGTTATCATTACCATCTTTCTAAATTCCATATATATATATGTTAGTATACTGTAATGGTCTTTATCTTTCTGGCTTACTTCACTCTGTATAATGGGCTCCAGTTTCATCCATCTCATTAGAACTGATTCAAATGAATTCTTTTTAATGGCTGAGTAATATTCCATGGTGTATATGCACCACAGCTTTCTTATCCATTCGTCTGCTGATGGGCATCTAGGTGGCTTCCATGTCCTGGCTATTATAAACAGTGCTGCAATGAACATTGGGGTGCACGTATCTCTTTCAGATCTGGTTTCCTCGGTGTGTATGCCCAGAAGTGGGATTGCTGGGTCATATGGCAGTTCTATTTCCAGTTTTTTAAGAAATGGAAATTTATTTTGTTTTACTCAAAACACAGAAAAGAGAAGCTGAAAATCACCCACAATTGGGACACCACTGAATTTTCACACTATCATCTTAATGGCTATTGAAGGTTCTTTTCCTTAGAAACTGCTTAACAATTCTGCTATTTTGGGGCATGTTCTGACATTATTTTAAAAAAATGGTACAACAAAATCTCTACATACGTTTCCCTTCTTTCGCTTTTTACTTAGCATTTTTACACACAAAGAAAATTGGTTCTTTGAACAAAAGTTTTCCCCAGTTCACATCATAGCTTAGTTTTCTTCATGCAGAATTTTTAAATTTTATGTACTAAAATTACTGATCTATTAATATTTACTCTCTTATAGCTTCTAGGTTTTATGTCATTTGATCTTCCACCTTACTCAACCCTAGCTGACAGCTTTTGGATTGAATTAGTCAAGATGGGAGGGAAGAGAGGTGGCAGAGATGCAGGTTGCTGTCATTAAAAAAAAAAAAATTATGGTTTTTAAAGCTTTTAGGGCTTCCCTGGTAACTCAGATGGTAAAGAATCCCCCTGCAATGTGGGAGACCTCTGTTCGATCCCTGGGTTGGGAAGATCTCCTGGAGAAGGGAATGGCAACCCACTCCAGTATTCTTGCCTGGAGAATTCTGTGGACAGAGGAGCCTGGTGGGCTATAGTCCATGGGGTCGCAAAAAGTCAGACATGATTGCATGACTAACACAAACAATAAGAATATATTACTAATACAATGAAATTTAAAGGATTTTAAAAACAGAAAATCATCCTAATCAGAAATATTATGGCAGTATTTCCAGGAAAGATAAATATTTCTTGCTGTGATACTATTAAAGAAATGTTTAAGACAGAAATAAAATATGGATTATAAGACATTGTTAGGAAAATCTCCATGTAAGTCTGAAACCTCTGGAAGAGTCATGCGATTATTTTTGCTTCTCAATGGAACACTGAGGAATCAACCAGATTCCTCTTTCCTCTGTAAGGTACGCTAAAGAGGTTGCACTCACTCCCAAAAGACAGGGAGAAGAGTCATACTGGCAAGATCCCTTATTTTAGTAAAACTACAATTTTTAGGACTTTTGTTATCCAGTCTGCTGTTTTTAATGTGCATTTTTCTACATATAAGCCAGGGAGAAAATTATTCCCTAAAAAGTGAAAGTTCTAAAGTAAAAGTTAGTTGTAATGAACTTCTGCCTTGACCCACACTTCCCGCCCGAGCGCACAATCTGTTTAGCCAGCACTCACCCAGGACTCCTCACAGAGCCTTGGCCGCCGAGGGCATCACCACCTTATGGTTCCCTCCACTTTAATGAGATCCAGTTACACGAACTCTAAGGTTCAGGAGTTTTCAAGTGAAAACCTCCTTCCTTCAGGACAAGAATCAAAGCAGGGAGAGCCATGCAGGGTTATTATTTAAGTGCTGTGTTTGGTAAGAAACTAAGAGTATCTGAACTCCTTGACTGCTCTATAAAATTTCCATCTCATTGCAACAGAAAAGAAATCCAAACAGTGCTCCAGAAAAGGGATAATACAGCTCTATTTTTGGCAAGCTCTATAAAAAAAAATGTTTTTTAAATAATAGAACATCTATACAAATGGGTTCCTTCCTTTTATCATACTTCCAAAATTTTGTTCAAACAGTAAACTCCAAAAAGTTTGTAAAAATTACTTTTCAACAAAGAGTATTATTCCTGTTTTTATCCTGTTTTCAAAATAATGTCACTAGTAAGGATGAGAGCTGTGTTTACATTTGCCCAAAAGACAGGGAGTTTAAAAAATGCAAAGATGGAAAGCATTTAAAGACTAACTGGCCCAAACCTCATTCTACAATACAGATAGTAGAGTCTTGGGACGGTTAAGAATGTGCACTCCCTGTCACACAATCAGCGTCTGAGGCCAGAGGAGGACCACGCTCACCTTGGCGGGCGACTGCAACAGATCTTTAAGAAGCCTTAGGATCTGACTCCAGTCTGGGTCAGTGAAAAGCGTTTTCTCTGAAAGAACTTCCCTATTGCTTATTGCTATACAGCAGACTGGGCTTCCCTGGTGGATAAGAGGTAAAGAATTCACCTGCCAATGCAGGAGACGCAGATTTGACTCCTGGGTCGGGAAGATCCCTCGAAGAATGGCAACCTGCTCCAGAATTCTAGCCTGGGAAATCCCATGAACGGAGGAGTCTGGCTGGCTACAGTCCACAGGGTCACAAACAGTCTGAACACAGCTTAGCAACGACACAACAATATACCAGGCTACTCTTTTTGTGGTTCTGCAAACTGATTTAGAGCTGTGAGGAACCATATTTGAACATGGGAGTCAGCACATTCTTGAAGCACTGCTCTGAGTTCTCCTTTAGAAAGACTCTTTCCTCTCTTTTCTGTCTGTCCATCTCACGTGCCAGTTCCTATTGCAATCCTCTTCTCCTCTGACTTTACCATCTTTCGAATTTATTGCCATGAAAAGTCTTACTATTCTCTGATGTTTCTTCTGTGAATGCATTTCTCCAACCCTAGACTAGACGTCTTCAATACTTTCTATGACTCCTCTACTCCGTTCACTGCACAACTGCAAACATGAATGAATAACAGCTTTCCAATTCCTCCTTATTTATATTCACAAAGATACTTGAATAACCTAGTATGTACTCTTACACATGAAACTATATGACAATAAGCAAGTGATTCAAGGCTAGTATGCTAAGTAATGTATCCATAAGGAATAATAGTATCTTTAGTAATATTTTTCCTTCAGTAACTTTTATGATTTAACATTTTAAGATTATGGCTGACATATCCATGTAGGTACAATATCCACGTAGGTACAAATAAACATCCAAGTACTACTCTCTCTATTGGGTCTAGAACTCAGTATCAAATTATAATCAAGCTTTGTCTGCCACCATGTCCAGCGAGTGGACTATAAGCCATTTCAGCACAAACAAGAATTTTGCCCTGTAAGAATTAACCAAGATGAAAGCACAAGAAGTAGATATCACTGAGAAGCAAATTCAGAGAAACTACTCCACAATG